GTTCTGGGGGCTCTTGGAAGCATCCCGGGAGTTTCTTGGGAGCCTCTTCGGGCTGTATTGGAGCCTCTTGGGGGTTTCTCGGGGCTTCTTGGGGGCTTTTGGGAGCCTCCCGGGGTTCTTTTGGGGCCGGGAGCTCGAAACCTCCGTTCGGGTTCCTTCTTTGGGCCTTCCTTGGGGCTGTCCTAGGGGCTCTTCGGCTGACATGGAGGCCAGGAGGAGGAGGAGGAGGACGAGGAGGAGGAGGCGGAGGGGGGAAGAGAAGGAGGAGGAGGAGGAGGAGGAGGAGAAGAAGGGAGAGCATGAAGAGGAGGAGGGGGAGAGGAAGAGCAGCGTGTGGAGGAGAGGGGGTAAAAACAGGAGGAGGAGGAGGGGGAGGAGGAGGAGGAGGAGGAGGAGGAGGAGGAGGAGGAGGAGGAGGAGAAGGAGGAGGGGGGGGAGAAAGAGGAGGGGTGGCGTCGTCACGCGCAATCCTAGAGAATTGTTGGATATGACTGGCGGTTTCCGGCCAGGGTTGCTCGCCTGCCCGGGCGGGACCAGAGCATGGAACTTGAGTTATTGAATCGTTTCGCTCACTCCGCCGGCCCATTTCGCATCTCGGTGGCTCTCGGGGGCTCGGGGGGCCAGTTTTGGGGCCCATTGGAGGCCTCCCAGAGGCTGCTTGGGAGTCTTTCGGGGCTTTATTGGGGTTTCTTGGAGGTCTCTCGGGGTCTCGTGGGGGCTTCTGGGAGCCTTCTGGGCGCCTTTTGGGGCCGAGAGCTGGAACCGTCCGTTCGGGTTTTTTCTTTGGGCTCTCCTTCGGGCTATCCTAGGGCCTCGTGGACCGTCATGGAGGCCTTTTGGGCCGTCTTGGGGCCTTCGTGGGTTATTTTTGGGGCCCTCTTGGAAAACTCTCGGGCCGTTTTGGGGCGGGTTTGGGGGCCTCTCGGGCCGTCTTGGCGCGTCGGGGAGCTGAAAAGGCGAGAACGCCCAAATCCTGTTACAAACAATTGGAAATACATCATGTTTGCCTCTTGGGGCCCTCAGGGGAGGCTTCTTGGAGGCCTTTTGGGGCGTACAGCGGGCATCTTGGGTTGTTTTGAGGCTATCTTGGGCCGTTGTGAAGCGTTCTTAGCCTCAGGTTGTGGCGCCTGCAACTTATCTGGCGCCTGCTTGGGCCGCTCCTGGAGCGCTCCGAAGGCTCCCAGGGCCGCGCCCAGGATTTTGGCATCTTGTAAAGCCTGGTGGGTTAGATGGTGTGTTACCCTATGGCTTGACGTGTTGATGCCAATGAATGTGCTAACCATGGGGTGCAGTGTCGGAGACTGGCTCCACAATTTCCGACCACATGGGAAAAACCTCATGGTGAATGCCTGCGCTGAAAGAAGTGCATGTTCAGTCATGGCTTGAGGCAGCGGTTGATCGGCTGTGCACACTGAGAGTTGCGATGCGTCTCCGGCAGGACCTTGCCGGGAGTTGCCCGGGGTACTTTTCGCCTGGAGACCCCCAGGAGCCGCCCCGCGCGTGCGAAATAGAAACGCACACGGTTAAGATGTTACTGGAGGTCTTCGCACGCCTCTGGCCCGTTGGGCCGGCGAATTGGGCAAGCGGATCGCAACCGAGAATTTGTAGCCTCCGGCGGAGATCCCAGCGCCGAGGCTCGTTTGAATGCGGATCGCAATGAAGAAGTTGTAATAACATTTGGTATTGGGTGGTAGGAGGGCCGCATTTGTTCAATACCTCGCCACGGTGATCGGGTGCTTGTTGGTTGACCTTATGTGTGTGTACGTCTTTATGCCTGTCTGTCAGTGTGTCTGGCTGTCTGGAAACGATCTGGTGGCATTCGGCCAAACTCGCCACCGTGTTTGGGCTGTGGGTCGGAAGCCTTTTTGATGAAACTGTGAGTCTCTTGGGATCCCTGCCACTACGAGAGGGCTCTAGGGGGCATCTGGGAGATCCGGCGAGAATGTCAACAGCAAAGAAAACACAATTGAAAATCAATGATTCTGGCTTCTTGGGTCTCTCTTCTGATGCCTCTTGGAGATGTCTTGGTGCGTCTTGGCGGCCTCTTGGGCTGTCTTGGGCGTTTGGGGGCGCTCTTTGGGCGTCTTTGGACCGTCTTGGGCCATCTTTTGGGTTTCTAAGGCAACTTTTGGGCAAGCAAACCGTCTCGGACGCTTATGCGTTTTCTCCCGGCCGCGCTTCGCCCGTCCGCTGGAAGAGAAATTATATGCATTACAATAGGCATCTCAGTGACACGGAGTTCTGCCTTTGACAGGGGACTCCGAAGGGGCATGGGAAGCGAGGGGCCGCTGAAGGGGATTCGGAAGAGCGACTTCCCGACGCTTTCAGGCTCGAGCGGGTTGTGGATTCCCGCGCTCCGCATCGGTGCCTTCCGGGGGGGCCTGCATCCGTATTCCTTTTCCATTCCCTCCGCATGGCAACCCGGGGCGCGTACGTTGACGAGGCGCTTCCGCCGGCAGCGCCCGATCGCTTACTGGTGCAGTGCAGGGGGACGCGCTGCGGGCAATGCGGCACCGACGGCGTCGCACCGCCCTCCGCGCTCCCGAATCGCCGGCCCCGCCACCCATGGACAGGCCACGAGGTGGACATGAGGCGATTGCGTGATCGCCTGCAGGCGTCAGTGGCCACGCGCTCCAGCGGCACTCAGACCGTGGATGTCGCAGTGTTAGTGTGTCCGCGGTGCTTTTGCCGTCACTACCCCATGTGGCTCGTGCCCGCACAGGGCGGTCGGGAGCGTTGGCTGCACACTGTACCAGCGGACTTGGACTATTGCTTTGTCTCGGCGGAGTTCGGCGTCGAGGTGTCCCTCTTGCGGTGGTTCGAGGCTCTCTGGGTGGCCGACGGAACCAGGTTCGAGAACTTCGCGGCGGCCTATGGGACATTCTTCGGGTGCCCGCGCACTGCGTTCCAGAAGAAGGACTTCCTGCACGCGTGCGTTCTCTGGAGCTCTCTATGCTGGACGGCGGAGGGAATTTTGCAGGAAAATCCCATGTGGCTGGATGCAGGTGCTGCTGGCGCAGCAGGAGGAGGACACGTGTGGGCCAGCGTTCCGTACTTCGACTGCCGCATCGGCAACCAGGGCGCTGACATCGAGGAGTTCTTGGGCCCTTTGCGGAAGTACTGGTACCCCGCCTTCAACGACCAGTGGGTGGCCAGGCATTCCGAGTATTGCGCGTCCGACTGCACCAAGGTGATGCTGCTCGATGGGAGCGCCAAGAATTACCGGACCGGTTGCCCTGCGGAGATTGCTCCCCTCGATTACCACGGCGTGACGGTGCGGAGGATGTGCGGCAGGCCAGTGCAAGGCCCGTCCGGCTGCGCTGTTCACGGCCATGTGCCGTGCCCTCCGCCGCGCCAGTCTGGCGGCGGTCGCCGGGGCCAGCGGGAGTGTGCTACGCTGAAAGAGCGGCATCATCCGACGGCTTCCAACCGGAGCTTTGGGTGCCTGTCCAGTGCTTTCCGATGCCGCACGTTCGGCCCTTTCTACGAGCTCGCTTACGCGGAGAGCTGCTCGCACGTGTACATGGCGGAGAACGAACTCAAGTCCCTCAACCCGGATTTCGCCATCAGCATCTACGACGACGGCTGCCACATGCGAGATTTCTGGCTGACCCGCCCGTCTCAGGTACACCCAGGGTGGATGCCCCGCCACTTCATTCCTCGAAGTCATTTGCGTGGCCACGTCCGTCTCTTTTGCCAGGAATATCTGTGCCCAGATTCTTGCTCAGACCTCTACAAGTACATGCTCAGGGATGTGCAGCTCTCAGCCCAAGACGCCGCCGCTCTGGGAGCCGCCCTTGATAGGAACGGCTGCCTCCGCAGAGGCATCACGGTCGGCTGCGTTGACTTGCCCAGGAACGCGACGTTGCAGGCAGCGGGGGGCAAGCGCATGGACGCTCGCTGCCATCTCATCACAGCATTGAAGGAGGATCCCCTCCCTGTCTGGACCGCGTGGCAGCAAGGGGGCGCACGCGTGGTGCTCTCCGTGAACACTAACGCGCAGCGGACTGCGCTCTTGGCTCGCTTCGACCCGCTGCTGCGGCTGAAAGGCCCGCACCCAGTCCGACTTCGAGATGCCGAGGGGCAGGCCGCGTGGGTGCGGAAGGGCGCCGCGCTCGTAGCCGCGGGCGTCTTTCGCAGGGACGGGCGTGAGGCTGTGCGCCAGGCCTTGACCTCGCACGAGGCCGTGAGCGGCGTGACCGTGGTGAAGACGTCCAACACTGAGGCTGTGGAGGAGAACTGGCGCTTCATCAACAGGCACAAGGCGACGCTGCGGCACGCGGGCGCAGAGATGTACGTCTATCTTCTGCACCGCATTGCCCACCTCCTCAACGTCCGCCGCTGGGCGGATTCCGAGGAATGAGGGCGGGTCGGCTTTATTGTGTATGTTGTTCTTTTTTCTTAGTTTATTTTTTGCGCCTTGACCTTTCTTTTTTGTATTTTTTAGCCCCGCCTTCTTATTTCCTTCCTCTTTTCTTTTTTTCTAATAATTCAGTGTTTTTGCACTTCTGTCTCTCTTTCCTTTCTTTTTTCTACCTTTCTTTTTTTTTTGCGCTTTGCTTGACTTGCGCGCGCAGCGGGGGTGTTGCTTAGCGACCGGGCATGCGAGGTGCCCGCTCTTATTGTTTAGTTGAATACACTTGCCTAAAATATTTCGCATGGATTCGAGCTGCCTCAGCGCCGCGCTGGTGCCCGTGCCAGAGTGATTCGGGGGGGATCCGACGATGAGAAATTCTTGTCGGGCTCAGGGGCCTCATGGCTGGTCACCTGGGTTCGGGTGTGGTCGAGGTGTTTCGCGAGCTCCCCCGATGTGGCAGGAGGGGAGGGCTGGGGGGTACCCGCCAGCGCGGCTTTTTCATTTCCAGGAGGATCGGTGGGCCGATCCGGGAGCAATCGCGTCACCGTAGCTTTCTGGCCTCCAGCTGGCAGGTGCTGACTTCACCGATTCCGCGCTCCGCGCTCGTCAGCAGAATTTCTGTTGTCCCTGCGGTTCTAGGGCCATGTCGACCGCTAAGAAACAGGTGATAAACAGGCACCTCGAGGCCGCCGTGAGATCCTTTCGGGCTGCATGGAACGACGACTCTATTCTGGGGGATGCGAAGGCTTACGTGTACAGCGTCGCCGTCCCCTACGTGATGCACCCGGCGGTGGCGCTCATGGGCTTGTACAACCTCGGGTTCCTTGCCGCGAACGGCATCAAGGCGGGCGTGAGGTCGTCGGGGGCGAAGGTGACCAATTTCGGGTCCTTCTTCTACCACGGGAAGAAGACGGGGAAGTCCAATTACACGGACTTTGTCTTCCAGCACGGGGAGGAGTTCGAAGTGGACGTCAACGACGCGGCATGCAGGCTGATCCACAACCCGCCTGCTCAGGCGGACGGCGTGCCTTCGGACCCCCCCACCACCACGAACATCATATTCAAGAACGTGGGGCCCGAAGAGATGATGGCTCAAGCAGACCCGAATAAGTTTGGGCGCGGGTGGTGGTCCGCCATCCGGGCAGAGGCGGAGTTCGGGGGCCACTGCGAGCAAGTGAATCTTCTGGGCTCGGGCGGCGCTCAGAAAAAGTACGAGAACCAGGCGGGGTACAACGACCTATTCGACGACGGCATGGCCTCGAAGCTCTACCGCGACGCGTCGAAGAACTACGGGAAGGACGTGTTCGCTAACTGGAAGCGCCGGGCGCCTCGTGCATTGTCCAAGCGGCCGTTTCGCATTCTGACCCCCTCCCCTCTCCCCCTCCCCATGCGGCCGCGCGCGTGGGGGCTGAGCGGATCAGCCGCGGGGGCATTGCAGGGCGGCGCCCGGTGAGGTTCTCCAACGGCAAGAAGTTCGCACCATGGGGTTCTACCACACTGGGTGCATGAACTTCCATGACGCGTACAAGCTCCTCTGCGAGGCCGAAGGACACCATTCCATGGCGTTGCTGGACCGGTATTGCGCCATGCCGCTGATTCCGGAGAATCCGTACGCGGACCCCCCGGACGGTTTCGATCCCCCGGAGGTTGTCAAGAAGGCAGACGGGGAGTTGCAGCGCGACGCGCACGGATTGTGGCGCAGGGACAAGCTGCCTGCCCCGAGGAATGAAGTGCTTGACGGCATGAGGGCGGTCAAGGATTTCGTGGAGAGCAACCCCAACGCTGTGGCGCGCTTCGCGCCCAAAGGTGCAGCTCTGTATCGCCTGGTGGACAGCGTTAACTGGAGCGCGGCCGACCGTCTTCAGTACGTGGATGAGGACAAAGCCGCCCGGCTTCGCCAGCTGCAGCGCTTCCTCTACGACTTCGCCATTGCCCAGCTGCTGCTTGAAGTCCAGAAGGCTGCCTCCGGTCCCGCGGGCCCAGCGGGCGACGCAGCCGACGCTGGCGCGGCGGCTGCTCCGGGCGCGGTTGCCACTCGCCCCACGGTGAAGGACACGTTCGTCGACGAGCAGCACGTCCAGCGTGCAGTTTGCCACTTGGCTGCGATCTGGGAGGGCCGCGAGTCCTTCGTGAACCCGCGCCGCACCATGTATTTGGAAGAGAACGTGTGGCGCGGCACGTTGGCTGAGCAGCGAGAGGCGGCGGCGCGGGCCGCGGCGGATGAGGGCGCCGATGACGTGGAGGCCGAAGGCGCCGCGGGCGCCGAGAGCGGTCTCGAGTTGCCGGCGGGGTGGTCGCAGAATGTGTGGAACGGCACTCCGTATTATTACCCGACGCCGACGAGCGCGCGTGGCAGTATGAGCACCCGTCCACCGTGCCGACCCCGCCTGTGCCGCGGATCCCGCAGGGCGTCGACGAGTACGTCTTTGTGGGGATAATTGATGCGGGCTTGAAGTCTCGCATGATCGCCGGAGTTGACGACGCGGAGGTTACGTGGGGCGGCGGCGACCTGATCGCGGCCGCCTGCAAGAACACGCTCCTGTGGAAATGCTCCACGGCAGAGAACCGCATCACCGGCAACATGGTTTCCGCCGCCATCCGCGCGAGTCAGGTCGCTTGGCCGTCGTTGTCCTGGTGGAAGTCCGTCGTGGTCGAGGGCGAGCTCTTGCATGCGGGGCTGGGCCGGAAGTCTGACCACAATGCCGGCGGGGGGTTCTGGGAGAAGCCCAAAGTCCCGATTGATGAAGAAGAACTCACTGCCTTCGTGGACCAGTTGGCGCAATAGGGAGTTGCCCTAGAGGATTACGAGCGTGCTTGGGTCACCGGCGCGGCTGCTTCCGGCGCGGCGCCCGCGCGCAGGCCGGCGCGCGCGCCTGCGCGCGCGGCGGCGCCAGGTGGCCGTGCGAGTGATTCGCCTGACCCGGGGGCGCGGCCGACCGCGCGCAGCAGCCCGTCGTCCAACGCGCGCAAGAAGCGACGCGGACCGGCGGGTGCTGCGCGCCCGAGTGCTGCCCCGGCGCCGCGCGCGCTGGCGTCGGACTTCCGTGGGCCGACGTAGGCGCGCAGCAGATGCGCCATGCGGTGTGAGACGGGCGAGCGGAGCGCCGAGGGCGCGGCGAGAGAGGATGATGGGGAGGCAGGGCCAGGGCCACGGCCACGAGGAAGGTGCGGGAAGCTTGCTCGCTCCGCTGCCTCAGGAGGGGTGTTTTTTTCATCGCGCCAGCACGCGCTCGCTTTAGTGGCGCCTCGAAGGAGAGGGGTGTGTTCTGCACTCGCAGTGAAGATATGCTTGATTGGTGAGGTTGGAAGTAATTTGGAGGGGTTGCGGTTCCGCTGCGACGTCGGATATTCATTATTAGAAGTTTTATGTGTGTGGGCTGAGACCAACCACTTCATCTGGCTTCCCACATCATGTGTACACTAGCTCAGGACTCGTAGTGGGCATATGCTGACTTGTGATGTTGTAAAGGTGATGAGAGGGGTTGTACATTGCAATTGTTTTTGAGGGGGTGGAGGTTCTGCTTCGACGTCGGACATTCATATTTCAGGTTTTCTAGGTGGATGGGCCGAGACCAACCTACTTCGTCTGCCTTCCTACTTCATGTGTACATTAGCTTCTCGTTCAGCAGTCGCAGTGAGCATATGTCTGAATTGTTGATTGTTGAGGCGCTCAGAGGGACCATACATTGCAATCGTTTCGGAAGGGTGGAGGCTCCGGCACGCTGCGTCGTCGGATACTCACAACGAGTTCTCGGGTGCCATCCACGCTCTACAGGCCGCCTGTATTCCAATATTCCAATGTGTTTTCAATAGAGTGAACCTCGAGAGGGCATTAAATGCTAGTTGATGCGCGTGCCATTATGTTGTAAGTGTCAGGGGCTACATGCCTATGTTTTTTCAGGGGATTCGCACAGTCGGCGTCTTCGTGCTGTAGTGGCATGGCGATTCCGTAACCATGATGGCTTTGGCTGCGTTTCTGGATGTGCTGCTTCCCCATGCAGGGCGGTTGGCACGTCGTGGGGTTTCGTTCTCGCTGCGCCGCTCGTCGCCATGGCGCGACTTTGGCCTACTAGTACGACCGGCGGAGAGGCCGCTCCGCTCGAGACATGCTCGAAAGTCCTCCCCGGCGGGGCTACCAGTAGGGACGAAGTAGCCCTACTAGTACGGGCCCCGGGGAGCTGGCGGGGGCGTACTAGTAGAGCTACTTTGGCCTACTAGTACGACCGGCGGAGAGGCCCTTCGCTCGAGACATCCTCGAATCTCCGCCCCGCCGGGGCTATTAGTAGGGCTACTTTGGCGTACTAGTACGGGCCCCGGGGGGCTGGCGGGGGCGTACTAGTAGGGCTACTTTGGCCTACTAGTACGACCGGCGGAGTAGCGCCCCGCTCGAGACATCCTCGAATGTCCGCCCCGGCGGGGCTACTAGTAGGGCTACTCTGGCGTACTCGTACGGCCCAGGAGAGCTGGCGGGGGCGTACTAGTAGGGCTACTTTGGCCTACTAGTACGACCGGCGGAGGGGGCCCCGGGGGGCTGGCGGGGGCGTACTAGTAGGGCTACTTTGGCCTACTAGTACGACCGGCGGAGAGGCGCCCCGCTCGAGACATCCTCGAATGTCCGCCCCGGCGGGGCTACTAGTAGGGCTACTCTGGCGTACTCGTACGGCCCAGGAGAGCTGGCGGGGGCGTACTGGTAGGGCTACTTTGGCCTACCAGTGCGACCGGCGGAGAGGCGCCCCGCTCGAGACATCCTCGAATCTCCGCCCCGGCAGGGCTACTGGTGGGGCTACTTTGGCCTACTAGTACGGCTCCGGGG